TTTGTTTGGTCCCTTAGAAAGTGATGTTTCTAAAAGTGTTTTTAAAAAAATAGATATTTTTGATGAAAAATCATTTTTGTTTAACCAATAAATTTAAAAAATACTTTTAAGCATTAATCAACATTTGACTGAGTTTTTTGAAAGTATTGTTAAGTATATCTTCTTCAAAAGTGTTTTTTTTTTTTTTTAAAAAGAAGATATTATCATAGAAACACTATCTTTTTAGCTTTTGAGAAACAATTGCTACTACATACCAAAACACTTATTTTCTCAAAAAAATAGATCAAATACCTCACCCTTTTTAAAAAAAAAAAAGTATTGGCCAAACAGGCTAGTACCTGAGAGCAGAGGCAGACTCATATTTATATGTGGGGTGCACGTGCACCCATTAAATTCAGAAAAAAATTATATGTATATATGTATCTTAATCTTGAAAAACTAGTAAAAATTAGAATATAATTAATAGTGCACCCATGAGAAGCGTAGCTGCATAGGAGTGTCTTTGTGATGGATCGTGCGCTTTAGTTCTTGTGACATCAACCAAGCGGTACACTAAGTGAGGGGCGACGGGGGGGGGGGACACATCATGAACTTTCTTCTCAATTTGTAAAGCCTGGAGGTACCTAGTAATGATGCTCCCATAACAGAAATGCCATCTCTTATTTGTCCTAAATTTAAGCATGTTTTGCTTTAAAATAGCCCCCACATTCACCAGCAACCCTTTCATCAAACGGTATACTAGCACCACTCTCTCCCTAGTGACATCAGTCGTATGCTTACAAGGTAGTAAGGTGCTACACACAAATTTCAAACAAATGCGAGCCTCCAAATTGAAGTGACCATAGTGAAAAGTCAAATAACGTCCTGTGTCTCTAATCCTATCCCACCGCGCAACAGAATTCACCCCACACAAAGTATGCCTAATATCATGATAAGGGGGTCTTTCAATCATTGCCAGAAATTCAGAATTTTCACAATTTGGTATACCCAAAAATTCAAACTCGGTTATCCTTAATTAACCCTTGGTTTAACTCAACACGATATGCATTCCAATTCGCATAATATTCACGGACTAAGCTTAAATTATACTCACACTGATCAACGAAGACATATTGAAGTCCCAAGGCATGGATTTGGGAGTGAATGTGGGGAAATTTTAGTCGCAACCGCCCCTCATCTACATACTCATCACCTAGGTACTTGGATTCTTGTTGACATTCGTACCAATCCTCTGCATAGTGCATTAAAGATTGCTTGCCAAATTTTTGAGGCGGCAAATTGGCGATTTCCCGATTAGAACTTCTGTCAGTCGCTCATTTCCTACTCCTCTTAGTACCCGAACCACTAGCAACATTCTTACCCTTAGGAGCCATTTTTACACCTTATCAATGAAAGAAACTAAGAAAAAAAGAAAAAATATTTTTGGGGAAAAAAGAGGGGGGGTCGGGGAGGCAGTGGGGTGGGTCGTTGGGGTTTTGAAAGTTTGGTGGATTGGAGTGGATTTTAGGGGGTGAGAGGTGGGGAAAAGGCAAGGGAAGAAGGTTTTAGTAAGGATTAATGGAGGAATGTGGGATTTGGGGAAAGAAAAGAAGTGGAGAAGAAGAAGAAAAATTTGGAATTTGGAGGAGATGGACGGTTAGAGAGAGAAATAATGGGGAAAGAGTGAAGTGGGTTTTGGGTAGGTGAAGGATTATAAGTGGGTTTTAAGAATTTCCCAACAATTTCGGGAAACTTGTTGGTGCGATAGAGGGACGGCGCGCTGCCAGAAACCACCCACAGTCAAACTCCTTCTAACGCGAGGCACCCTGTCTGCGCCCAAAGATGTGGCGCGGCGCGCCCAGGCTGCCCCTGCCATTGCGCTGCCAGTGCGCCAAAAAGAGGCCCCAGTAAGTTAGCCTTGGAGTGGCACGCCCAAATTGCGCCCAAACTGCATTTTTTAACGTATTTCTTCTATTTTTGGGTGGTTTCTCCTCCTATGACCTGCGCATCAACCAAACAATGTGACATAATAATGGTGGGTTGCCTCCCACCCAGCGCCTTAGTTTTGGTCGTGGCACGACACATCTTTTTGTATTTTTCTTTATAACTTCGAAAGTACTATCCAAATGACAAACTAAAAAAATAAAAACTCTACACCTAGAAATTTGAAACTAAGCTAAAATTTCAAATTTAATTTAAACTACTACCTATTGCATATCATTCACGGGTTGCCTCCCGTGTAGCACTTGATTTAACATCGCGGCATGACTCAGCTTGGATCATTCGTCATTTAGCTCAAGAGCCTCCCGATCACGATCCGAATCGACACCAAAGTAGTGTTTCACCCTTTGCCATTTACCAAGAACGTAGGGCCAGTATCACCTTTAAGTTCAACAACCCCATGTTGTGTTATTCTTACCACTTCGAATGGACCACTCCATTTAGACTTTAATCTTTCGGGAATAACCTCAATCTAGAGTTAAAGAGTAGTACATTTTCTCCTTAAGTGAAAATACGAGTAACTATGTGCTTGTCATGCCACCTTTTCGTCTTTTCTTTGTAAAGCTTGGCATTCTCATATGCGTGGAGCCTAAACTCCTCAAGTTCATGCAATTGATTCACTCTCTTTCTACCGACCAGCTCGGGGTCCAAGTTCAACCTCTTAATCGCCTAATAAACTTGGTGTTCTAATTTCGCTGGAAGATGACATGCTTTACCAAATACTATGTGATAGGGAGAAGTTCTTATGGGTGTCTTATACGCAGTCTTATATTCCCACAATGCATCATCTAACTTCTCACACTAATCTTTCCTCTGCGCATTCATCGTTTTCTGCAAAATTTGCTTCACCTCTTTATTCGAAACCTCCACTTGGCCACTCGTTTGGGGATGGTAAGCTGTAACAACCTTATGACGAATACCATACTTAGCAAGAAGATTTTTAACTAGATGGTTAATGAGATGCTTACCTCCATCACTTATGATTGCCCTTGGAGTGCCAAAGTGAGTCAATATGTGCTTCTTGATGAACTTTATAGCCACCCTTGAATCATTCGAAGGAAGAGAGATAGCCTGAACCCATTTACTCACATAATCCACAGCCACAAGGATGTATTGGATTCCATTCGATGGATGGAAGGGATCCATAAAGTCAATACCCCACACATCAAAAATTTTCACCTCCAAAATGTTACTTAGCGGCATCTCATGTCTTTTTGAAATAGTACCCAACATTTGGCATTTATCACAACCCTTCACAAAAGCAATAGAATCTTTAAATAACGAGGGCCAAAAGAAACCAGATTGTAGTACCTTATGCATCGTGCGCTCTCCTCCATGGTGACCTCCATATGGGTTAGCATGACACCTTTCGAACACTTTTTGAACCTCATACTCCGGAATGCATCTTCTCACCACCTGATCCACTCCTTGCTTGAAGAAGAATGATTCATCCCAAATATAGAACTTAGCGTTACGATTTAGCTTTTTATTTTGTTGGGTGGTTGCACCCGAAGGGTAGTCTCCACTCACTATCAGATTCACAATGTCCGCATACCATAACACTTTAGAGATATCTAATGCTATCAACTGTTCATCCGGAAACTCTTCCCGAATTCGCTCACCTTCATTCACATGGTAAAAATCGTCCAACCTAGACAAATGATTAGCTATTTGATTCTCAGTACCTTTCTTATCTTTAATCTCAAGGTCAAATTCTTGGAGAAGCAATATTCACTGAATCAACCTTGGTTTAGCATCCTTCTTATTGAATAAGTACCTAATAAGTGCATGGTCAGTAAAAACATTAACTTTAGTACCTACCAAATACGATCTGAACTTGTCGAAGGAGAACACTAGAGCTAGCATCTCATTCTCAGTCATTGTGTAATTAGCTTGTGTAGAGTCCAGGGTCTTGCTTGCATAATAGATCGAGTGGAACACCTTTCCTTTTCTTTGTCCCAACACTGCACCCACTGCTACGTCGTTTGCATCACACATGAGTTCAAATGGTAATTCCCAATCAGTAGCAATTAAGATGGGAGCCTCAATTAAGTTCCTCTTCAATATCTCAAAAGCTTTCAAACACGTCTCATCAAAGTCAAACTTCACCTCCTTCTCCAAAAGACTGCACATAGGTCTAGCAATCTTGTAAAAATCTTTGATGAATCGCCGGTAAAAACCTGCATGACCAAGAAAACTACGCACCCCTTTTACAGAAATGCCGCATTTTCTCAATAACTTCTACCTTGGCTTTATCAACCTATAAACCCGACTTAGACACCTTGTGACCTAACACTATCCCCTCTCTAACAAAAAAATGACACTTAATTTAGCACTAAGTTAGTGTCCTCACACCTAGCAAGTACTTTATCAAGATTCTGGAGACATACCTCAAAAGACTTTCCAAAGACGGAGAAATCATCCATGAACACCTCTACAAAGTCTTCCACCATATCATGAAAAATGGCCATCATACACCTCTGAAAAGTCGTTGGTGCATTGCAAAGTCCGAATGGCATGCGTTTGAAAACATAGGTATCACAAGGACATGTGAACGTGGTCTTTTCCTAATCCTCGGGGGCAATTAAGATATGGTTGTATCAGAAATACCCATCTAAGAAACAATAGTACTCTTATCATGCTAGTCAGTCAAGCATCTGATCAATGAAGGGAACCGAGTAGTGATCTTTTCGGGTGTCATCATTAAGTTTCCAATAATCCATATAAATATAAATTCTCGAGTCGGTCACTATTCTAGTAGGGATCAACTCGTTCTTTTCGTTCCTTACCACTGTCATACCTCCCTTCTTTGGAACACACTGCACAGGACTTACCTATTTACTATCAGAAATCGGGTACACAATTCTAGCATTTTGCCACTTTATTACCTCCTTCCTCACTACTTCTTTCATCAAAGGATTTAACCTACGTTGATGTTGTGCACTTGGTTTGTGATCATCTTCCATGTAGATTCTGTGCATACATAACACCAAACTAATCCCATGAATATCAGCCATATGCTATCCAATCGTTTTCTTTCTCTGCTTTAGGATCCTCAATGCCGCATCAACCTGTTTTTCAGACAACTCTGCAGAAAGTATAACTTGCAAAGTTTCATTAGCACCCAAAAATGCATAACTGAGGTGAGCAGGCAGAGTTTTTAACTCCAGCTTGGGAGTTTCTTCTATTGAAGGCTTTGGTGGAGGTCCTAACTCACGATCTAATGACTCTACTCTACACTTGTGAGTCTCCACAAGTGCCAGATTCAAACATGTTTCTATCTCTTGGGCATCAGTATCTCCATCCACCTCATGACCCACTAACACTCTTTCTAAGGGATCTCGGGCACAACTGATTGCGATACTACTAGGTGGTCTACAACTGTAATAGCAGACAATTCTTCATAGCTAGAAGGCAATTTTAAAGCGCCATCAAACATCAAACACTTCAACCTTTTCATGTACCCTCATATTTAATTGTCCAGCTTCTACATCAATCAATGTCCTCCCTGTGGCCAAGAACGGATGTCCCAAAATGAATGGGACTTCAAAATCGGGTTTAACATCTAAGACCACAAAATCCACTGAACAAATCAAGGAACCTACTTGTACTAACACATCTTCTACCACTCCCTCAGGCCTAGTAATGGATCTATCAGCGAGTTGGAGAATGACAGTGGTTCGTTTTGGACTACCCAACCCAAGTTTTCTATACAATGATAAGGGCATAAGATTTATACTCGCCCCCAAAACACACAACCCCCGGGCATGAACACTTTGCCTAATTGTAATCTGCACAGTAAAACTACCCGGATCTTTTAACTTTTTGGGCAGTCTATTTTGGATTCTGGAGCTACACTCCTCAGTAAGTGCCACCGTTTCATACTCCGTGAGCCTCCTCTGGTTAGCCAGTACCTCCTTCACATATTTACCATACTTCGGGATACCTTGCAAAATGTCAACCAAAGGTAGATTAATGTGAACCTGTTTAAGGAGAGAGAGAAACTTACCGAAGCATTCATCCTCATTCTGCTTTCTGAGCCTTTGTGGAAACGAAAGTGATAGTTTCTTTGAGGAACGGGTGCCTCAACATTGGAACTTTTTACTACCTCTTCCACTTTCTTTTCTTTAGTACCTACCTCAATATCTCTCTTCTTTGGAGCTAGTTCCACTAATTATAACCCACTTCTAGTACTCACCGCATTTAGTTGCTTGGGGTTAGGTTCAGTATCACCGGGCAGCCCACATTAGGGACGCAAGTTCAGAGAATTGGATACTTGCGCAACTTGTTGCTCTAAACTCATTTGGGACATTTGGATGTTTCTGATGTTCTCATCTTGCTTATCTATCCTAGCATTGAGCTTTGTCCCTATTTCAACCATGAGATTTTGGAGTAGCTCCTCATTCGTCATCCCCCCTTTTGGTGCATTAGGATTTGCGCCTTGGTTAGGAGTTTGGAATTGTTTCCCAACCCCTTGAGAACGGTATTAGTTAGCCCCTTACGCCTGATTTTGGTTTTGATTTCCATCCCATGAGAAGTTAGGATGGTTCCTCCAACTAGAGTTATAAGTATTACCATAATTTTGCTGACCTACACCCCTTTGCGCATTACCCACATAGTTTACAGAATCCGGGTTTGCCTCACATTATTCGATTTCATGAGCTCCACTACCACATACCCCACACCAATTGGATGCCTATTGTACCATGTTAACCAGTCATTGGCTTAAGGACATCTGTTTGAAATTCATGGCTATATTATGTTGCATCGCATCCAATTTAGCATTTATGGAGGTGGCTTGATCTACATCTAAGATTCTCGCGACCCTTTGGGTTGTGGTTCTAGGCATTTCCCCCTCATACCCTCGATTTCCTTCTGAGAGTCTATCGATTAAGTCGAATAACTCTTCACAGGTTTTTGCTAGGGCTTGTCCACTTGCTGCACTATTAAGAAGAACACGAACATTATAATCTAAACCCTCAAAGAAAGTGTTAGCAAGTACGTCATTAGTTTGCATGTGATGAGGGCAGGCATTCAACATTTGTTTAAATTGAGCCCATGCTAGGTACATGTCCTCCCCCGAGTTTTGCTTAAAGCTTAATATCTCACTTCTCAAGTGTAGTTTTCTTGGGTGGAAAAAATCAACTCAAGAACTTCTTTGCTAGATAATCCCAGGTAGTGATGGACTTTGGTGGCTCAGAATCTAACCAATGCCTTGCGGCTCCTAACAATGACAATGGGAACATCGCCAGCCTTACATAGTCCGATGAGACTCCATTTGGGATGTATGTATCACTAATCTCTATAAAGTTCCTAAGGTGGATTTGGGGATCTTTGTGGGAGAGACCGATGAATTACCCACTAGCATGGATGAGTTGTACCATGCCCTGTTTCAGTTCAAATCTACCCCCCGGTAGAGGTTTCCTAATGCTAGACACCACATTGACTGTGAGTGGGACTGCCACATCACGGACGGGTCTTGTTGGCACTACAGGGGGGTACCTCTTGGTAATTCAAGTTCTCTTGGTTGTTCACGTTATCTTGGTTATTCTCCTCATTGTCACCGCGAAGACCTAACCCCAATTCTTCTTGATGCCCTCGATTCATTTTTCTACGTTGGCGCAAGTAATATATATTCTTTAAAGAAACGAGTTATCGTTCCCAAGGGACTTATGATCGATTTATATCTAACACTTAATTCCACAAATAAAATAAAAGTAACCTTTTCAAGAGTTGGTGATGGTTGTTTACTGCTACTACGAATTATGCAATAACTAAAAGTAACTAATTGTGAATGACTTTAAGATGATGTTTCAAGCAAGTAAAAGACAATTCCAGAGGTGCAACATGTTATGAATCTCATGTATCATATTATCAGCTTAGAACTAATTTTAGTTGTCAAGTTACTGGTTTACAGGGTTAATTGTATGAGTCGGGTTACATGTCTCTAGTCGCCTACTTCAATTAGCTGCCTAACTATATCGTTGAGCGGGGATAAACAGACTAACTGGCGAGCATTTATATTTCATCATGTTTCATAACCTAGCAAGTTGTTCGTCCGGGCGTCACTCCTGAACACAAATCACCTCAACTTAATGGGTCAATCAAGCTCTCTATATTCTTTGGTCTATCTAATCCGTCATCTCTCGATTTTAAGATTAGACAATAGATTTATCTTATGGTGCGCAAGCATAAAATACTAAAACAAGAATATAGAAGTAACTTATAATGACAATCAAGAATTAATTCATAAACCTTAAATAATCAACATTCAATCCGTAGCTACAGCCCCAGAACTAGGGAGTTTAGCCACTCATGCTATCAGAAAACCACAAAATATTATTGTTCATGCGATTTCCGGAAAATAGAAGAGTTAGAAGATCGAAACCTATTACAAGTGATGAAACTTGCTCTTGCACACCAAAATAATGTCGAACCCTAACTATGTAGCCCAAGGGGTCTATTTATAATAGTTGGAAAAATTAGAGTCAAAATCTACTTCAACAAGGAGTCCCTTTTAAATCAAATTTCGCTCAAATGTCTGCAAGGTTGTGAGGCATCGTGCCCTAATCGCGCCTGGCAGGCTGGCGCGCCGTGCTGCCAGTGCGCCAAAATGTAGCCCCAGTAAACTGAGCCTTGGTGCGTCGCACCCTTCCTGCGCCAGTGATGCTGGGGCTCCACGCCAGCTTTTGCTCCTGGCGTCACTTGTCGTCTTCAACTCCTTCCTTCCTTGAATCGATCACTTCCCTTAGGAACCCTGCAAAATTGCTAATCATGTATGCTAGTATGCAATCATCGCAATTCTAAGTAAAATATGTTAGTTAGATTAGTGAATGTCCTTAAAGTCACGTTAAAAGATTGGTAATTTGTAGTAATTGGGCATATAAATATGCCCAAGATCACTAATATTTTATTTGGTATACTAATTTTTAATCCACGTTTATATATTTGATTATATATATATATATATATATATATATATATATATATATATATATATATGTGACATTAGAAATACAAAGGATTTTAAGATATATGCTAGCATGATTAAAGATATAATTGTCCCTCAAAACTTATCCCACATCTTTTACACCATATTCATGAAGAGTATATATAAAAAATAATTATGGCATACATTGTATAAGAAATTATTAATAATTTGTATTTGACACTATTCTTATACGAGAAAAGGTTCGAAATAGTCCCTCATCTTTGGATTAAGACTCAAAGTCATCCTTGAGTTTTCTCATGGAGTATTAATAGTTCCTCATGTTTGCAATATTGGTGCACTTTTGGTCCTCCTTCAAAATTTTGCCTATTTTTTAACATTGATTTTATTCAAAATTTATGTAGGGAATGTTTAATCGTCATATATTTAGTAGAAATAATAACTCCATGTGAGAGATTGTGCGAAGAAAAATAACCTGTTTTGTTTAGTAGAAATCGTATTGCAGGTAAAGTCGAGAGGTTCATCACGACGATTTCACATGCAATAGTATAAATTTTTCTTTCTCTTGCAATGTCATATGTTAAAATGTTCTTAGTTTAGCTGCAATAATCTTTATACTGAACAGAACAAAGTGTTCTTCTTCTCACCTTCTCTCACATAGATTTATTATTTCTACTAAACATATAAAAAGACGATGGGACATTCCTTACATAAAATTATGAACAAAATTAATGTTAAAAAATAGGTAAAAGTTTAGGGGAGGACCAAAAGTGCACCAATATTGCAAACATGAGGGACTATTAGTGCTCCATGTGAAAACTTAAGAATAATCTTGTGTCTTAACCCAAAGATGAATGACTATTTTGGGTCTTCTCTCATTCTTATATACCCTGCTAAACAAGTTGTTGACTATTGGGTTATTTGGAAAGTAGTGGGAAAAGGACTGACATTTCTATTATATAGAAAGGGGAGTTTTCAAACTTTCAACATGGTTGTTTTTTGCCATATTTAGAAAAGCTTAAGAGCAATTTGGTCATTGCCCCTTGCTTATATAGAAGGGACAAAACAAAATTGCAAGATAAACTTGCTTAGAAAATTTGTACTTCTTGCTTTGTTATTTGGACCTCAGCAAAAGCTCTTTAAAAAGTCCATCCGTTTCTATTTATTTACAAAGCATACCTGCCATTAAAGAATATGATGGGTCCTACTTTTTTGTTTTTTCATTAATGTCATAAGACATAAAGAAAAGGAAATAAGAAGTGGGACCTATATTATATGCATTAATTAATAGAAGGAAAGTGGAGAAAAAGAATAATAGCCCACCTGCATGGAAAGTAGTAGAGCCGTCAATATGGGCTAGGCCTGTTGGGCCGGCCTGGCCTAACCCGGGATTTTATAGGGCTGGGCTAAAAAATTTGGAGCCCATTTAAAAAAAAGGGCTTTTTAGCCCGGCCTGAATAAGCCTGCTGATTTGTGGGGCTTGAGAAATATAAGTTGGTCCGGCCCGTGGGCTAATTCAAATTAATTAAA